GTATTCGGAATCAGCATCGTCGACTACCTATAGTCCAGTCGGTTTCGTTGAAAAAGCGATTTATCAGTTGGGGATCATTCCTCGTTAGATGGATGTTTTATATCGATCAGAGAAAAACGCATTCACATTTGTCAGCGACGGCACAATAGTACCAAGGGACAGTGAATTCACAGCGCCTTTACGTAAAGAAGAATGCTACAAAAATTTCTTCTTTGATTTCATTACAAAGTACATCCATACAACCAAAACTATCAACTACAAAATTAGAAAATGGTTTAGTGGCTACAAAACAAAAATTCATTTCTGAACTTCATTCAATTTTAAAATTCAGAAATATCGGATTAAGATAGAAATTTTTCTTTCTTATTTCAATCAAACATTAAGCTACTCTATTATCTTACATTAGTAATAATCTAGCTTTTTGGCGGATGATTCGTTCTTTTTATAAATCTATTATATCAACGTCCCTTGGAAGGGAGCGACGGATGTAAAGGGTTAAATAGATTCACACTTTTTCAACATTTGAATCAAAAGGTTAACTTTTGCATTAGAAAACATATTTTCAGTTAATATATGAAAGTCTTGTTGTTCAGGAATAATTTGTTGTAGTAACCAGCCATATTGTATCTTCCAAGAGCTTTTCTTTTTGGAGGACTATTTTCAATTATCTTACCAGAAAAAAAGTAGATGCTATAACTGATAGAACGTTTAATATAACATAAGATATTTATAATGGTTGCTTTTAATGTTTTTTTTTGAATGTCGTGTATAGAAGCGTTAAAATTTTCATAATAGATATTATACTCTATTAAATAAAAGACTTTTACATATTTACCAATTCTTTTATCGAGAAAAAAATTAAAACTCTTGACAACTACTAAAATAGAATAGATTAAAGAGAGAATATAATTAATTTTTATATGAATTCTCTATTTCTAAATGTTTTGTTACTTATTCTCTAAACGACAAAGATATTGCTTGGAAACATTTATGTATGTTTATAACTACAAAATGAAGAGACAAATAGAGTAAAAAGTCGTTTAAATATATTCTTTCTTTTTAATTTATTTTCTTCTATAATTTATAATTATTAAAATTATATTCAACAATTTATTTTTTCTTTCTATTTCTTTCAAATAAATATATTAGAGTTGTCAATTGGATACCTTATTTCTTCTACTTTTCATTATCATCATCATCATCATCATCATCATCATCATCATCATCATCATCATCATCATCATCAAGCAGTCTTTTCGAACAAACATATATATAATGAGTATGGCAGAGAAAATGAGACGTTTTTTGTTATTGTTACAACTCGATCAGTTTTGATCCGATTGATCCAAACTTTTCTTTAAAAGATGTGCTGCGAAATACTCTACAAAATCATACCTACACTATAATTTGAGAACTTTAATCAAGAAAACTTAGCCAATTAGATGAAAGTCAAAAAAAATGTAAACTTTCTAAACTCAAAGGTTTTTTTCGACTTGAACTTTTTCTTCTGCTACTATTTTCGCTAAAAAGTTTGGCAAAAGTGAAAACTTAGGTTATGTTTGGTACTTTCAAATGTGTTCTTTCTTGTGGTCTGTAAAAAAGACTTTTTTAGAGCAGGTGATGTGCTCGAGAACGAAATTACAAAAATACATCAACAGTTGACAACCTACCCATTTCCAACAATGTACTCAATAAAGAAATGGAAACGACGATNTATTATTATATTTAATTTTTTACAGACCACAAGAAAGAACACATTTGAAAGTACCAAACATAACCTAAGTTTTCACTTTTGCCAAACTTTTTAGCGAAAATAGTAGCAGAAGAGCAATCATTTCTGATCAAAAACAAAGTAAACCCGACCGAAAAAGCTTTTACTCTGATGGAGTTATCGAGCTTTTACTCAAAGCACTACTATAACCAAAATTTAAAAAATTAATGAAAAAATGCATAACAACCGATAGAAAAACTATTATTTTGCTGAAGCTTTTGATGTGAAAAACATAGAGAGAAGTCAAGGCTACAAAATGGTCGATTTAGTTTTTCTTACTTTCAAAACATTAACACAAGAAATAATTTTTGAGTTTAGAAAGTTTACATTTTTGTTTTTCGACTTTCATCTAATTGGCTGAGTTTTCTTGATTGAAGTTCTGAAATTCTAGTTTAGTTATGATTTTATAGAGTATTTCACAGCGCATCTGTTAAAAAAAAAATGTTTGAATCAATCAGATCAAAAATGACCGGGTTGTCACAAAAAACAAAAGGGTCTCATTTTTTTTCTCCCACACCCGTTATAATATGATATATGATAGTTTGGTTTCTAACTTGTTCAATTTAAATACATTTACATGTTTCTATGAAACATTGTAACAAAAAAAAAAAAAAAAATTAAATATAATAATAAAGTAAAAATGAATGTCTGTTATCCGAGAAGCGCCGAAGAAAGTATATATTATATATATACAGAAAGAAATAAAAAAAATTTCTTTCATAATTTACTATTTTTTTTTTTTTCAGTCTATAATAATAACTTCTTTTACAAAATTAAACACTTTCATTCTTTTAACGGAATATGATAGTCAATAGTTGAAATTAGAATTTTTCTTTTATATTCTAAATTACAAAATCATATACATACATACATACAAAATACATACAAAATGAAAATAAGTGAAACTATTTTATTGTTGATTATTGCATTAATTAGCGCTATTGCTGCTTTATTATGTGTTATTGGTTTAGCAACACCAAATTGGGCTTGGTCTAGTTTAACATGGTATGGTTTATGGTGTACTGGATGTAGTCATACATCTGGTGCTTTAGCTATTATTGCATTTCTTTTACTGCTCATTAGTGTTGTTCTTCTAATATTATTAGCTATAAAAATATTACCAAATGGAATAAATTTTTTACCATTTATTATATTATTTATTGCATCAATATTTAGTTTAGCTTCTTTTGCAAGTTACTACGTAAATAGTAGTTATTATAGTTATAATTTAGTAGTTGCTGCACATTTTTTTACCTATACTTCTGCTGTACTATTAGCATTTTGGTTAGGTGGTAAATTAAGCATTGTTAATTCTAATTAAATGATGTTTTTTTTTACAATCAATAATGACTTATTGAACTTTTCATCACGAATATAAACAATTTACACATTAATCATTTTTAAAACAATAGATTTCATGAAAAGTGACAATTGAAACTCTATAAAATATTATTGCAGACTATTTATTCGTCTTAAATAAGCTAATCGCGCACATTATGTATTTTTTGTTAATGAAAATATCTTATTTTTTGTTATGTATTCTAATAATACATAAACGGATGTAACTTATTATTCTTATTTTCTATTATTGAAGTTTTTATTCAAAATTTAATGTAAGAGTGGAGAAAAAAAAATAATGTAAACTTCATTTTTCGCATTTTATCAATTTCTTAAAAGAAGAAATGGATTAATTAATTATAAATAAAAGATCTCATGAATATTAAAAGTATTCTGATTTAATATTGTGAAAAAATATAAAATCAGCTTGAATAGTCTTGATCAAGTAGTTCATGTTCCATTTCATGTCACATGAACAATAAATTCATTTTACTTGCCATATACTATCAAGGTTAGAATGAAGAATAATTACGAGGAATATAGATTCTTAACTAAAATTTTTCATCTTTTTCAGTAAAATGGTAAGTCAACAGAATGTGAAGACGTTTGTCTCACTAAATGAAGGCTAATGGTATACTAAATTATATAGCGTCCCTTAGAAGAAGCTTCACAGTATATATCCGAACATTTTTTATCATGCTTCGTCGCAGAGCAATAACAGTTGGGATTATGGTTGTAGAATTGTTAATCAGGCATTCATTTCTCGAAAAATCGAGATGTTTTCAAAGTCTTTTTAGGATCAACTTTCAACTTCTAACTTGTACAAAACTTTAAAAAAATCAAATTCCATCTATCCATGAGAAAATGTATTTCCTTTGATTTGAAATCATTTCTAGAAGTAAACTCATCAAAACTCATATCACCGGACTTCGAAATTTTCAAATGCGATTAGAGTCCGGGGGATCCCCCGGACTCTAATC